GCTGCTCTATTGCTTACACTGTTTGTGTAACAGTCTTGGCACTAAGACTAGATGACAAGAAACAATGCTCACAGTGGGATATGCAAAGAACTTGAAAACAGATATTTCTAGTATATTTTCTTCATTCACCTCTTACTACTAGGTAATGCCTGTTCTTATATGTTCGTTTAGTTTTGGTTTTTCTAAGTGACAATTTTCATTTCTGCAACAACACACAGTTGGTTAAAATAAATAATTATACTGACTCAGAGAGCAAGAAAGAATGACTATGACCCGCTCTTCCATATTACACACAGGAGAGGAATGTCTAAAATAGCCCCTAAAAATTTACCCATGTGAATCCCAAGCAGTTAATTGCATCAGCCAACATATCTCCAAGGAGTGAAGGCCAGGAAGTTAGAGCTGGAAAGTAGGCATGCATGTGTGGACTTTGCCAATGGACTACCTAGGAACAGAATTATGCAGAAGTTAAGTCTGAAAATGTAACAAAACTTTGCATGAGATGTAGTGGTTAGTATCTGTTTAAAGTGAGAGAAAAGGATTACAGCCAAATAATAATATATAATATAGTGCTATAACTATACATCTGCCAGCAGAGAGCTGCAGAGATAATATCAACAGGGGAGCAGCACTAGCAGATGATAACACTGCACTATTAACAGATAAATTGCAAGTAACAGCAAAAGTATTTATCTGGATTAAACATACAGACAAAGATTAAGAACAGGAAAGAATGTTGTGACATGTTTGAAAGACCAGAATCAGAAAGATTTATCAAAATATTTATCTTTATGAAGGGGATCCTTGCAACAAAGTTGCTCATTTTGTCAAACAACAACTTGCTTTCAGCTACACACAGCAATTTACAACTATATAAACCCTTCCATACACCTGAAGGAGCTTGTGTGTGGGACACCAGTGAAGTACATGTAATCTCATTGCCTCTCCTACATCAGATCAAGTTTCTGCAAGCATATAAAAAAATTTGACAATAGACTTTGAAAAAGCTTCTTACATAAAGCATGTCATTTGGTAATATGAATTCCCTTAGCAGAATCTGCAGTATTTTATGTTCAAGAGGAACACTTTTACATTCAAAGCACAGGAGACAAGTCTTATATGTACATGAAGTTGGGCAAGAGTTGTTTCACCTCGCTGTGCTGAATTTCCACATCCCTGAAATTAAGATTATATAGTTCAGCAGGTTGAGACATTGTGAAGCTAATGTTTTTCTCATACTGGTGCATTTGTTTCCCTATAAGCAAATATGAGTTATATACAAAGTAATTAAAAAATACACTCACAATCTAACCCCTAAAATTATAGTTAGGAACACAACTGTGGACATAACATCCACAAGATTTATGCTACATTTTTGTGTACATTACTTATTTAGAACAATGTTCTGCAGAACTTATGCATTCCCAGGATTTGGTGTTCATCCCAGGTAGAAACAGCTTTTTCCTGTCATTATTATACTTTCTTACCCCTGGCATAATAATCTTCTCTATATCTCCAAAGATGCTGTCCCAGCTGTCTGGGTCCATTGGGGCAGAGTCTGGCAGCTGGGCTCTCATGTAACCTGGCTGTACATCAGGAGTCACCCGTCTCTCTCTCACATTGCTCAGGTACTGGCAAATATAATCCACCATCTCTTTCCCTAGAAGAGGCAAACCAGTATTTTCAGTTTCAATTAATGGAAACACTAAATAGCAATACCAGCACTCCACACAAGCTATCCTTAGCATTGGACAGAGGTTCCAATAGCACTGGAATACTGCTCCCAGCTCCTCCCTCCTACACCCTACTTGTCCCCATCTAATAATGTTCTAAAAGAGCTTTTTCAGGGTTTTGTCATCACTGACTAGTTCAAATGTACCTTTAAAACACAATCATGGTAAAAGTACAGTTTGGTTACTGAAAATTTAGATTTTCTTACCTACAGATTTACTGAAACTGCATTTCACAGGAATTAAATTTTCATAATGTCCTACACTTCTTTGTCATTATAGCAAACCTCCTTTTGCATCCTCTGAAATCAGCTGCATAGCTCCATACCTTTTCTTCACTTTTTAAGGCAATCTCCTGCAGCCCTGGAACCAAAGGTGGCTCTCCATCTCCAGAACTGTCCAAATACCACTGCGGTGTCAGCCAGTGAAGAGATACTGTGCATAACCCCTCAGCACAAGTTTATTCTGAGTTACAGTTTTGCAGCTTTCCCACAGCAGCTTTGATGTAAGACCAAAAAAGATGTTACCCACAGACTCTAAATCCATTAATTTAAACTCAACCCCGGGACACATTTTTGTGTCAGCCTCAGCAGTTCCAAGTCTCAAGGAGAAGTGCACAAATAAGGAGTATATAGCCCATCCCAATTTTGGGTATCACTCGCAGCCCTACAACAGTTGATCTCCACGAGCAAATGTTGCCTGCTTGCAAGAGCCACAGATCACTCACCTCTCTGTCTGTACTCCTCGGGCTCCATACCGGTTCCTTAGGAGTGCTTTTCTTCAAACCTGGGCCACAACCTTTTGGGAGCTGTGGTCAGCTTGGTCTGGTGCCCTGCCAGCTGCTTCCCCCTTTATAGCTCCCTTTATCTCTCAGACTCACACATTCTGGCAAAGGTTTAACAGGCAGGTTATTGGTGAGTGTTTATCTAACTCCTCCCAACTGAGGATTTTTACAATCTCTCATGTTCTCATCTGTGCTCTTTTGATGTGTAAGATAGTGTATCACTAAGAGGAGCTGCCTCTGCACTTTCCCATTTTCAATCAGTCTTTCAGAAGTCTCACAGTAATCCATGCCTTGAATACAAGGCACATTAACATGAGACTTGTGCGAGACAAAAAGCTCAAGAGCTTTCAAAACCAAACAAAATGTAGATGGTACACCAGCACAACCAGCTACAGTGCTAGCAGTAGCCATGAAAACCAGTACCAGCACAGAACAAGTTTGACATGGGAGGCTGAGACTTTTCCTAAGAATTATTTAGAGAACTCTTTTTTTTCCCCAAAAAAGAGTATACTTACATCCCCACACGTCTTTAGTCCTTATGCTGTCAGTCCCATGCTGCTGGAAGGAAAGGCTTCACAGCTATTTCCAGTTCCAGAACTACAATGTGAAGCAGTACACTGTGGATTTCCTTTTTGTGGGTTTCCTGCCCTTCAGATCAGAGCAGGTTACACTAAGCAGGGCTGCTCCTCCATGAGTATCACCCTAGACCACTGATCTGGGAAAATGCACCTTTTCCCTCACTGTGCTTTCTTTTCTCCATATGATATGCATAAGCACGGGGATTTAGTCTTGTCTCTCCAGAATTTCTCCAATCCACCTGGATTGTTCTCATTTTGAAAGAACAACCTCACAGACTGCCTCTTGTTCCAGTTTTAGGACCTGAAACAAATCCTGACCTCTCTTTGGAAGCACAGTCTTTGACACTACTCAATATTGAATCCTTATGCATCTTCACTTGCTCTACACTGTTCTACTCTTGCTCCACCTACAGAATAGCGTGAAACCTCTCCTAGTCTCTGCTGCAATTAGGTACTTGAGAAGAAACTGTTTTATAGATATGAGAAAGATGCTCTCCCTCACACAGACACATATCAGAGATTAATGTACTGAAATTCAAAAATCCAAATTGATAAAAAAGCATTGAGAGAAGTGCAAAAAACTACTATATGCATATTCATCTGTTTTATCCCACATTGCTCTGGAAACATTAGGAAAAAAGTAACAAGCTGCCCACATGTTTAATAGGAACTTACTAACATCTCCTGGTTCTACTGCAAATGATCCCATAAAGGGGAACAAGGTAAGAAGTAACAGGCATCAAGCACAGGACCAACTCAAAATGAGCCCAAAGTTCGCAAAAACTCTGATTTTAGCTCATTACAAGCGATTAATATGCTAATATATATAGACATCTGTTCAAGGAAATAGATGATAGCTAATTACACTTAAGCTTTTAATTTGGAACAGCAAATAAGAAACAATATTTTTAACAATGTTTTCAGAGCTAAACTATATAATAAATATTTCATGTAACATATACCCTACATTTTAGCTCAAAGGTGACGGATTCATTGGGTTGATCTTTTGTTCTGTGCAGAAGAGAACAAACAGCAGGTCCCATTCGGAACTAAAATAAAATAGCTGATAACAGATTACAGGTAGGGTAAATATTGCTGGTGATAAATACAGTTTTGTAACAGCTACACTGCACTCAGAAGGGTTTTGTTATGGACAATGAGGAATAGAATATTTGCTCACAGGAAACAGAGTGAATAGAAAAGGTTCATTTCATTGTTTGCTGCCAACATCTGCTGTCACAACCGTGGGAAACTCTCCACTTGGATGTGAACGTTGCCACTATCACTACTCAAACACTGCCACTCTTATCATTATTAAGAAATCAGAGATTACACTGTTGTTAAATTTGTGGGATGTGAAGACACAAACATTATTTTGATCGAAAAAATAATTAATTGGAGCAATGCCTAAGAAGCACATTTCCCTTGGCTAACTGGTTCCTCAATCTGCTACTGACATAATGGATAGTTCCTGGAAAAAAATCCCTAAAATAGAGCAATTTCCAGTTAACCATTGCACAAGGTTTGCTTCAAGTCCCAGTACTAACATGATGCTGTCCTTGAAAATAATTCTTCCAAAACCCACCACCATAGATTTCCTGATTTTATATTTTGATTATTTTTAGATCGAATTTGCGAATCAAAATCAAATTTACCAAACATACAATAATACGAAGATATTTAGAATGTTTCCTAACCCCCAAATCTATAAACCCATGTCAAATTTTGACCAGTTTGACAAAGTTTTTGTACAGTACAATGCAATTTTTTCCCCATTCCTCCCACCTACCATTTAAGGCCATTCTATACCCAAAACTGTTTTTTCATGTTTTTCCAGATGCCTAACACAGAACAGCTTTGACCTTCTCATTCACACACAAACCAATTGAATTGATTCTACACTATATATATGTGGAAAAGATATTTAATTGTAAAATAGAAAAAGTAGGCCAGAGTACAGTTTTAAGGGTAATTTTTCCGTGTACAGTATAGATAAACCAGACTTTTTGCTTAAGTTTATATAAACAATTCCATAAAAGCAGTGAACATGGAACGACAAAGCAAAGCACAAATAGTTTTATCTTACAAAAAACGGATCTGCACAGTAGTTCAAAATTTAATGTAACACAGCACTGAACAATCTTAAGGCAGCTCAGTCTAAGCACAGGACTAGAAGCCAGGAACTCCTGAGATCCATTCCCAGGTGACTACAGGTGCATGTGGTGTTAAGCCAGTCATTTAACACTCCCTCATGTTACACTTGAACCAGTTATAAAACTGAGACAATAACACTCACTTACCTGCCTCAGGCAGTGCAGTAAGGGCTGTTTAAAAGATTTTACAATGCTCTGAAGATGTAACGTGCCATATAAATTTTAAGCATAATAGATCACTGCACAGACACACACAAACACAGTATCACAGTGAGGAACAATGATGCCGGGTAGGAAGAGCATCACTCTAACATAAAAAATTACTTGTCCAATTGAGTAATTAAAATGCAAAAGTCCATTAAAAAAAATGCATCACTGAAGTAATTTCAAGGCTATTGGGGAAGAGATCAACAGGGTTATTCTAAAATAGCTACTATTTGTGTTCCAGTGGAGATGTTCTTTTCTATTTATTTCTGAACTTTAAAATATTTGTACAGGAAAATTGTAAGACAAACAAAGGGAAGTTTTAACACCTCCACTACCAAATTTTGCCTCTTAATATGTAAATTAAGATACTTTTTTGTTCTTCTTAATTACAAATTACATTCTTCCAAGAAATATACCATCCACAATAAAACTGGCTGCTAGCTTACTTCAAATGACCTATAGGCTAAACATTTTTCTCATAATTTTTCTCATCTTTGCTGAAAAATACCTATGCAAGATGTATGTGTAGAAATTATAAAAACATGCAGCATATGTACAAACTGAAAAGTTTAAAAAATATTAGCTTCATATACATGTAAATCTACTTGGATATATCTGAAATTAAATATAAAAATTTCACCACCTAAAATAAAAAAAAAACCAACCAAAAATGGTTTTCAGAGAATCTGAGACAACTACTTAAAGCTGTACAAAGATTTCCACGTGGAAATGTCTTATTCAGAGAAGTTGAGTTGTTATCGTGTAGAAATAACTGTTAATTCATTTTGTCACATAATCAAATTTCAAATTGTCAGCTTAAATCAACATCACCCTTAAAACTGTTCTGTTTTTCAGAAGTTAGATTCATACTAAAATCAAAAATTTCACAAAAACATTGGCTTTTCATGTTTCTGGATCCCTTCAAAAAGATTTATCAACTCATTTTGAAACTGTAAAAAAACCAACTATTTACAGTATTTAATTTTAAATACTTTTCACAATTTCTAAATTCAGAGTTTTTATGTTACAAGAAATTAATCAGAGCTCACGGCTTAAGTCCAGTTATCAACTTGTAGCATCTTCTCTATCATGAAATCCCATGGCTGTACCTATATAGTGTACAGTTCAAGATTGTACTGCAGGTTTTTGAAAGTAACAGGCTTTGCAGTGTGTTCATTTTTTATTAAACAGCTTCTTTATTAGTCTGGAGGCGGTTCATTGCCTCCAACTTCTGCCGATAAGCCTCTGCTTCTTGTTCCTTCTTTAGAAGCTGCTGACGATATTTTTGTGCTTCTCTGTTTGCTTCATCCAGCTGTTTCTGAAGAGTTTCTCTTTCCTATTAGAAACAGAACCAGCAATATTTTGTCAAATAAGTACCAAATACAAGCTAAAATGGCAAACACTTTTCCTTTACATGCAGTTCAAGTTTTAGGGTATCATGGAGAAGCTGTTCAGTTCTTACTCGGGCAAACCCGATGTATGAATGCTGCTGTGCAAATTAGACCCCAATTATCAACCAGCCAGCTCCCCACACAGGGCTACAAGTGTGGAGACAGTAAACCCAAGTCTACTGAGCTACAAAGGTACTTCACCAAAAAAGAGCTATATGAAAAAAGTGGAAGTGCAGTGATTAAATACTAACAGAATATGTTAACATTTCTCCAGTCATTCAATCTAAAAGGCTTGTCCCTTGCTTTTGTATTTCTAATCAAGACAGTAAAAATGACAAATCGTTACCTATCAGCCATCTGCACTGGAGAGTGTCAGCTGCCCACGGAACAAAGTGTAAGCCTGTTTCTAAACAGGGATTAACACTGAAATCCAGAGGTCAAATCATATCCCCAAGGACACCATATCTCTATGAATTAACAGGCAATTAGCCAGATAAACTTTTTTCCTTTTAAAAGCAGCTAGTACAGAAATCCTTAAGTAACTGCAGAAATCCTGCATAGAAGCTTGTTGAGGGTGGATATAAAATGGTTTCCAAGCAAGATGATACGAGAAATGCCACTTCCTCTGAAGCTGCCTTAGGAACTAAGGAGAATGCATTTCTATCTCCAGTGATGTAGGTACTGTCATTTTGTCTGATGTTGCTCTGAGCCCAACTGAAAAAGCAATTTGCTTGGGAAATAGTTTTGTTTTGATCACATATTCAATCAAATACCATTTCATTGAAGTGCGTCATACTTTTATGAGTAAGGTAGTATTGGATTTAAAATCATTCTTTCCACTGTAGCTGTTAAGTAGGAACAGTAAGGAAGGTTGCCAGAGAAACAAACCATCTCCCAGAAAAACAACTTATCAAAAAACTGAGGTCCAGTGAAAACAAGTTGTCTTTTCATCATATTCCCATCCCAGCAGTTCAGTATCACATTCCCATTTAATACCTCTAACAGCTGTTAGAAGTTTCAGCCCCCCACACTCCCATAAGAGCATCCCTATTCTTCATCTCTGATACACTCACATATTCTCATGGTCAGAAAAAAACAAAATACTCTGCCTCCCTTCTACTTGCTACTGCTCTCAGTACTTGTCACAGTCACATTTAGCAGTCACGTGTCAGCTGAATGTGCTGAAGAACAATGACAGAGGTGGTCAGATCATTGCTAACAGCAGCACCTGAACAGCAAAAGCAACAGGTGAAGGACATGTTATTAACAGGTTATAAAGAGACTAGGCAGAATACAGAACAAACTCCAGTAAGTGCAACTTGATTTTCCAAGGGGCTTTAAGAGCTCAAGACAGCAGGCTAGGGTTCACCTCATTTGGAGCATATGCTGATAAAATGAGAACTCATCTTATTTTGCTTATTTATTTGAAAAGGAAGTTCAGCTTCCACCTCGGAAAATTTGGATTTTGCTTTTAGGGCAACTTTATGGATGGTCAGCGCATGTAGCAACTAGACTGACAGATGCCAAATGAACAGCAGAGCCTACAGCTCAGAGCATCTGAACCACACCAACAATCCTCCAGCACCAGCCCAGCCAAAATGTACTGCTATTTCCAAAAGTTATCTTTGTAGTATGAGGGGACAAAACAGCTTATGTAAAACAGCCTCATGGATTGATGAACACAGCCACAAGACAATTCCCAGGGAATTAGTCAAAATAGTTGATCCTTCCACATGTAGAAAGCAGCCCTTCCTTTTTGATGGCTGGGATGTACTGAGCTAGGTATTATCTGTCCTATGAAAAACCTAATACTATTGAGAAGCAAAGCTGCTCACTCTACTGGCCTGCAGAGAAATAAGAACCATTGGCAGTTCACTGGCAAGAAGTCCTGTGGTGCATTACAAACAGTGAGGGGCTATCACTGCTATGGAATGTGTGCAAACATTTGGGGATGGAATGTGGAGTGTGCACACACTGCAAACATTTGGAGGTGGGGAGGTTCTTGAAAAACATTTTAAGAGTAGTTCCCACAGAAAAGAGAACTAGAGCTGAGTACCCAAAAGTAGTACAACACATTAAGGAAAGGGCAAGAAAAAAAGGGAAAAAACCCAAGTCTCCATGGCATGGCCAGAAGCTAAAACCAGGATCTACTAGACAGACTAGCAATTCAAAGCACATAGATTAGTCCAGCTGCTAACAGGTGTAGTTTTCAGACTGTCACAGCCCCAGCAAGCAGAACGAGTTAAGGAGATGAAACCAACTATTATGTGTGACTAGGCAGTGGAAAGAACCCAAAGCTTCTGGAGGAGCAACACATATCTTCTGTGGACTCAATGGTCAAAACTGGTTCTCTAACTCTGACATCTAGCATAGGGAGGACTGTCTCATCTACAAATTTAATCAAACCCAGAAAGTGTTCTTGGGACATTCTTTAGAACACAACCAGAAGTGTTCTAGAGATCTGCAGTCCTTTTGTATCCCCTACCCAGATAAAAATCAAATTAGAGGATGGTCAGTGCTCTAAAGAAATCTTCCATTTTACCAGGGAATTTTCTTCATTACATGTAACTTTCCATTGACAATGGGAACAACCTGAAACTTAAATAAGCAACCACTCTTTTAAACAACACAAGGACACAGGATATGAATCCATGAATATAATTAGTCTACAATTATGATTATTTTTTAGTCTAATCAAATAATTGTCCTGGTTCTAATGCATGTCACCTTTCAAACATGTAACATGGGAGAAACAGTCAAATTAAAGAATGAAAATAAAGACCACTATATGTTAATGAATTATGCATGAAAATGAAAAACAGAGTATCTGTGTGACAGGGTTTTTTTGCTGCCTTGCTGTGTTTAAAATATCAAACTGCTTAGGAAAATGAGCTGAAATGTTTAAACTCTACAGACCCAAAATAGAAAATTTAAAAACACCAGTACAGCTTTAGTTGTTCCACAATACTTTCAACAATCCTTTCAACAGGGAAGTTTGTCACCTCAGATGGATGGGAGGATTTTCAACTACAAAAACTCTCAAACTACAGTAAAATATTCACACACTATGAACTTAAAACAGCTGAAAAAAGTATTCAGCCTTGAATCAACTCTATAATAAAATAAAGGAATGAATTAGCATGAGGCAAAGAAAACAAACAATAAGTGTTTTCTTCATTCTAAAGTATTTCCTTTATTATTATCAGAATAATATTAGTAAAATATTCTAAGTATTTCCACATTCTAAAATATTTTTAAAATATTTTGATGAGGGGAGGGGTTCCACTCTCTCCAAATTTAAATAGCTACTGTTGTCTGTGATGAAGAAATTTGAAGTGAACCAACTCTGTGTGCACTTCTTTAATGCCACTGCTACTAAAGTAAGGTAGCACCATTCCCCTGTGAACCACAAGAAGGCCCCTACAATCAACTGGCCTTCACACAGAGGCAGAGGTCTGCATGTGCATTTCCAGCTGGACAGGCAGGGACAAGAAAGTCATCAAAACTCCCACTTAAAAGTAACAGACCAAATAACTCATCTAAACCATCTCTCAATATTTGAGAAATAGGTTTAAGATATATAAATAAATCTGGTAAGCCCCTTAAAAGAATTACTGGTATTGTTATACCAATTATCTGTAATTAGGAACAGGTCAATTTATCCCTTAACCAATCTGGATTTTTTAAAAATTCATTTAACAGAATTACTAAAATACTTAAGGAAATATAATTTCCTTTATGAATAATTCAGGCAGATTTTTTAAAGTGTGAACAAAAGAAATGCTTTTATTGTAACAGTCATACATTTTTAAAAATGCAGCAAGAAAATTTCAACTGTCAGGATAATCTGTAATGACCACAAAGCTGCAAAGGCCAGAAGTATTTGATGCAACAACTTAGGGACATGGAAGGCAAATGATGAGAGGTGATAATTACTGTTATTAGACATGGATAACATATAGCACATACTGTACAACACAAAGTATTCAATTAGGCACAATTTGATAATATGAACAGAAGTTGGAGAATACAACCTTTGATAAATGAAGTATCATGGGGTTGACAAAATGAGAACTTACAGTCTAGACAAAGCAGATAGCAATTTTCATAAACTTTTGACCAAAACTGGTCAGCACACTTAGAAGCAACAGCAAAAGGAATGAGATGGTTGACCTTTTGTGGCTAGTATAAAAAAGCTACAATTTTAAATTGAACAGCTACATCCATTTGTCGTATAAAAAGGAAACCGCTCTCAACATTTTTAGGACTTTTGCAGTATAGTTTTAAAAAAAAAGAATGATGCAAAGTTGTGTAATAATAAACTGCTTCGGAATTAAAAAAAATGTGGGGGATGCCACATAGATAAAAATTAACAAACACAGAATCTTACTGTTTCACACTTCCATCAGCTGTTATCTAGATACCATGAATGGAAAGGAAACATTGCTAAAAATGATCTCACAATCAGAAGCATGTGGCTGTAACAGAAAGATGAGGGTACAGCGCTCTCATTCACTCCTACTGGAAAGGGTCAAGTCACTTGATAATGTATCAGCACCCAGTTTTAAAAACCAGCTAGTGATCTTCAAGAAAAAAAACAAAAAAAATGTTCTCATATACTTATTCATGTTGCTTTTACATGCATGACCACAGGATCAAGCAAACAGCCCTCCTATTTTCTTTTTACAACTTTGTAAAAGATGAATTTCAGTTACAGGAGAGACTGAACAAGTTAAATGTTTCACACACTTCATTCTGTGGTAACACAGAAATTAACCTCCTGAACAATACAAAAACCACAACCAGATACTCAGTCCTGAACACTGTTCAACACAGATCATGTAATATACTCCTTACTTCTATTTCTGCAGACTCCACGCGATTTTCAACAATCTCAATGCACTGTCTCTTCACTGGCGGTTCTTCACTTATTACAGTTTCTTCAGCAATGTCTGTTGCTGGAACTGTTAACACTGAAAACGTATTTGTACATGTAAATACATTTACTTCAAACAATGTTTGCACTATATAGAACTTGCATTATTTAAGTAATTTTATTAGCAGATACTTTTGCTTGTGGAAACACATCTATATAATAAAGTGCACGATAAGCTCAGTGAAAATCTACTAAAAACTTTAATTGCTTGTATGCTACTAAAGAACCTTAAAATTCCTCATTATTGAGGTCCACAGTAATTAAGCTCTGGAGTATCACTGCCATTTTTCACAGAGTACATCAACATGGCAGAGAACTGCAGCAAAGTCAACTCTAACTTCTGTAGCAGATCATTTATATAGTGTTTCTTAAATAAATACTAAATACAAATCTTGCTTTTGTTTTGATTAATACACCTTAAGTAATGTAAAAATCCAGTAGTTATGAGCCGTAAATAAGAAAAGTAGGGTTCTCAGAAACGTCATACTCTAATTCTAATTCAACATCTGACAAATAAACCTGTCACCTCAGTTACTATCTACACCCACTCACTCATAATGGTAACAAGGTGTACTAGTTCAGGCAGACCAAATAATTTGCCTCCTGTGTACAACTCTTCAAGCTTCACAGTGGGAGTCCTCACTAAGAAACCAGAGAAGGGATCATTTTTATATAAATAGTGGCAGAGCATCTTTAAAAGAAACCACCCAAAGCATACACATCACGAAGTACGATTTATCACACTAGCAGCTTCTACAAAGTACACATAGCCAAAAAAAAAAAAAAAAAAGTTGTGCCACTCTAGTTTCACTTGTTCTGTCTAGTGCTGCTCTAAAACTTCAGGCATGTAAGACCTGACATTCATCAGGTCAGTGTGTCAGTGTATTGACACTCAATAGGACTTTCACACATTGCTTCAAGCATCAGATTTCAAAACCCAAGCCTCACCTCCCCACAGTACTTCCAGCAAGGCAACAGTATAAGAATTAGAAGGTTCTTGTTTTACTCCATCCTCTATTTTTTGTAATGAGTTTGCAAAAACCAAACTTACTGAAGGCAAAGCAAGTAGTTATCACTTTTCTCTTTAATGTCCCACATCTTCTCCATAGTTTATTATCTCTTCTATTCTCTCTCCTAAAGAAGAGGCTCAGCTGATGTATTAAACCACTGAACTGCAGAGGCTTGTGTCTGAGCCTTCTCTAATGTAAGAATTCACAGAGGCACACAAAATGATCCAAGTTATTTGCACCTAAGAAGTCATTACTGCAGCTGAAACAGTTCCTCAGGCTGGAATCATACAAGTGTGCACTCACCTTGCTGCCCATCTGGCATGGTCACAATGATGGGTTGCCCTATCCCACTGGTCGGAATGGAATGCAGGTTACCCAGCTGAATGCCGTCCGTAACTATGGTAATAACCTGCTGACCTCCAGAACTGACCACTTGCTGAATGGCCCCATCCACAGATTCTGCAGTCACAACTTCTTCTGTGGCCACAACTAGCAACAGATTAGTAAAGGAATTGAGTCAATTTATAAATGAAGCTTTTATGATTTCAAATGCATTTTGGTAGAGCTGAGAAAAAATTTCTTCCATGGCTTTCAAAACCTGACCCCCCTGATGGATACTTCACTATGTATTATATTTTAAACAGAGTTTTTCATCAGGCCAACATAAAGCACTCGCATTTTGACATATACATGCAACACTATCCTCTCTCAATAACAATATTAATACACCCCACTCAAAACTGATGCTTTGGGTTCAGTGCTAACAAGTCAGCAAGAACTGCTGCTTTTAAGGAGCTGCTTTTAAGAACAAAAAGAACTTTTGCATTGCAAACAAACTGGACTAAGTTACACTAATAGCAGAATAAAACAAAATTAAACTTGAAATACTACCTTGAAGCTACTTCTCAACCAATGCCTTGCCACTGTACCTCAGGACCCAGCCCAGATTTCTCTACTTAATATAATGGTCTTCAAGATGGTAACAGACTAAAGGACCCCTAGAAAATCTTAAAAGTTTGGTCTGTACTCCATGAATACTCCATGAACACTTCAAACACAACAACTTTATTTCTTATACAAAGTATGAAACAAGACTAAAGAAACAAAGTTCTGCACAGCTGACATTTTTACACCTTTGGAGAAGAAAGATAAAGCTTAAGCAGTAAAACAAATCTTGTATGTATATAATTCTATAGGTAAAAGTGAAAAATTCCAGTTCAACTATCCATTTCAAATTCATGATTCAATAATGAGTATAAAGCAGTGAACTCTCACAGTTCTGTATCACTTCTACAAATGAAGGTAGGACACGGAAAGCCTGAGTTCAGAACTTCAGCACATACCCCAGCGTGCAGTGTATGCTGCAAATCGGGTATTGTGCTACCATCCTTCCTTTTTTAAAACAACAAGATGCTGAGACAAAGAGCTAGATCACTGGTAGCACTATCAAGGAAATTCAAGAACACTAGCTCTGTATTTTATTTTCAATTTGTCAGGGTAAAAGCAAAGCCTTTGATTTAAATAACAGACAATAGAGTGCTCTCTGTCTACAGAGATGAAATTAAAACCCTATAGACTGTGTTGTGATGTTCAAGATGACAGAAGGCAGATAAAACTCTGAAGCTTTCATCTTTTAAGTTAATTACAGTATAACATACACAGAAAAATCATCCTGTAGTTGAAATAATGACTGCAGACATCATCTTCTGAAGATCTTTATGTTTAGAGATTACTGTCCTATAACACTGCTTAAATATTCACAGTGTTTATTCAGGAAACCAAAACAGCGACTCCCACATGACTAAGTGGTGGTGTACTGAACTTGATTTGGCTTCCAAGTACAGGCTTAGCAATAAGAAAGACCACTGTCACAAGAAAGTCAAATTGCAAGTGCCAATACTAGGTGATGTGGCAAACAGCTCTGATCTTTCAGCATCAAATTCAGTGTTGGGTTTTATTTCGAGTTTTTGCTAGAACTTCTTCAAACCTTGAAAGAAAATGGAAGATTTGGTCTAAACAGAAGCTATTCTATATAAAAAGAAAAATAGCCCCATAAATATGGTCATTATTGCTTCCTTGTTCTCCTTCTGTATCTATACCCATAGAATCATTATTTAGCAGACTACTTCATGCACTGAAGGAAACCTGATGTACTTGAAATTTATTAAATTAGTTTAAATTACTTAGCTTTCTAACCTGGTGTTTCTGAAGAATTAGACAGCGGAGCTGATGCTTCTGCTAAAGCTGCCAACGTAGCTAATACTGATGTTGATGAATTTCCAAACTGTACAGCAGACACTCCTGTTTCATCTAGAAGGATGAAGAAAAATTAGCTGATAAATTTAAAACCAGCAAAGTTCCTTTTTCTATTTTTATTGCACTGAAACTTCTAGCAAACACTCCATTTTCAGCAGCATTCTGCTGAACTGAAGTGCTATTCTGAAGTGAAGTTTGTTAAGCAAATAGAACTTCTGATAATTTATGTCTGTGAAGATTGTTGTTTTAGGTATGTACATACTTACAACACACAAAAATACTGATGAGGAATATGGTAACTATTCTTACTGCTGTTTTTCCTCAAATCTTTTCACTAAATGGTGAAAATCAGTGAAAGTATAAAATCCCAGTAGCTATCCCTTAGGCACCTAAACACCTGTTCTAGTGGATGTATTTGCAGAAGATACCAGACCTGTTAGGTTCACCACCCCTCCAGGTCCAATGATGAACTGCGGTGTGGCTGCGTGTATCGTCACAGTGTCCGGGCTCTCAGGATTTGTATTGATTTGGTTCTGCATTGCAATCTGGGACACAAAGGTAACAACATCATTCCCACTGCAGGTATAAAGGAGTTACTGACCTTGTGTAAGAGCTAGAATTCTTGCATGCTTCACACAAACAAGGAGCATCTCCCTCATTACACTTACGCAATACACATACATCGTGTCATATCTCCAAGTACATAAGAAACTTTTTTTTGGTTGAAATCTTAAGATGGGGTCTGTTAGAGTGAAAGAGTTTAAAGCACACCACCACTTTGCCCTGCCAGTTATTGTAAACAAAGAAGACAAGGCCCTTTTGCAGATATGCAAGCTCACTTATCTAAAAGAGAAGTCTGAAGAATCAAGACTGCTGGGGCAGATACATGTCATGAAAAGCTGTTCTGACAGCTTTGCAATTGCCATGAAATGTATGTGGCAGTCTTTTTGTCTTTCTATGAATTATTACTAACTTCTGTTTACTACACCCTTTCTGTAATCAGGACAAGCCTAAAGGCACACACCAAAAGTTCAGACATTTAATGACATAGGGAGGCTATAGATTTATACAGTGGCATAATATTTTTCATTTGCTTTATATTGTTCTTTCAGTAAGCCTTATCACTTGATTTACCTTTAACAACACTATTGAACAGTGAGCACATATTTCCATGGAATTATCTATTATGATCAATTCTCCAACAATTCAATCCTAGCTTTTCTAATGCTGGAAAACTCGGCATCTCTTCTCTCCTGTCTGCATTCCAACTGTTAGGAAATTAATATCCATATATGAAGCAAACTGAACACTAGCAGATAGTCAAAATATACTGTCAGAGAAGGGAGTTATTTTTTTACACCTCTATTGTAAAGAGTCCATCTATCTCTGTGTATTACATCCCCCAAATTTGAGAAAATAAAAAACTTATCCTTGACATTGTAGGTGGTGAAAATATTTTTAACTAAGTAATGTTTACTAACAATAATCTCATTTCATCTAATGAACTAGACTGGAGTCTGGCATTATCAATATATGGCGTCACAGCTGCTACAGTAAAAGCTTAGTTTATGATGTGTAATCAAGTACTTTGCTCTAAGTTCCCTCAACATGAGGAAATTAAAGTTACCTGTAATATTTCTGCAATGTCTTCATTTCCATTGTCTACTGCAATATCTAATGCCGTTTTGCAAAATTTACTCTGAGCGTGAACATCCGCTCCATACTTTATCAAGAGTTCTACAACTTCTTGGTGGTGATGTTCAGTAGCCCAGTGAAGTGCAGTCATTTTGAGCATGTCCTTCGCATTGACATCAGCACCATGCTACAAACAAGATCATTGCATAAATTACTTCAACAGAAATATCTGAATTAAATAATGCTAGTCACAGAATGAATCCCAAAATCGTCTGTCTCCATGAGTAATGCCCTGTTACCTTATATTTACGTATTTATTAAAAGTTATCCAATCTGTCTACCAAGTACATTATTTACCTAAAGCATATCTTACTTCTAGAATCTATTACTAAACACAGTATCAAATTAGGGAGTATTCTTATTTTGAAACAGCAGTAAATAATTCACCTGAAATCACGATGATTTTAATGTAAAATAAATTACAGTTCAATTGGAAAACAAAGCTCCCAATGCACACAGTTTAATTATTTGTGTAAATTCAATATATATATATATATATTTATATATATGATCATAAACCATTGCAATAACCCCACTTCAGACTTGTTTCAGTGATTCCTACCTTAAGTAAGACTTCTACTATGCTGGCATGGCCTTCTGACGCTGCCATGTGTAATGGAGTTCTGTCCACTTTGGTTCTGGCATCCCGACTCACACCTGCTCGCAGCAACACCTCTGTGGTGGAGTAGTGTCCGTACTGTGCTGCTAGATGAAGCGGAGATGTTCCCAACTGTAATGGAACACAAAATATCCAGATCTAACAGATGTCACTACATATATTTCTTTTTGATGTCAAGCCACCACTTCTAAACCATTTTCCCTTGCAGTCCCAAGCAGAGAAGCTGTTGAGGCTGTTACAGAGTATGAAAGGGAGAGGAAAATCTGTTGTCGCTTTCTTTTTACTGTTTTATCTGCATTTTTGATGTGTAACATTTTAAGGGGCCTAACCCCATTTTTAGTGTTGGTCAACAGGGACCTCTGGAAGTCAATTAAGTCCAATCTCCTGCTCAAAACAGAGTTAATTGGAAAGTTAGGTCACTAAGCAGATTAAAGCCCTTAAGAGCTTTTAAATGCCATAGGAATTTTGGGTTCCTGACGTCTCTCCACAGCCTATTAAAAATCAGCATCTCCAAAAGACAACTCAGTACCCCTATATCAGGGAACTCTCACCTGCACATATTAGGTAGTTAGGACTGTTTGCATTTTTCACACCTCTTACTATACTAAAGGCATAAATACAATAATTAGGAAGATGATTGCTGCTTTTTCCCATTAACCATTCCAAAGTTCATCTTGAAATTCACCAGAATGAGCTCATTTACAGTCTGTTACTAAAATCAGTAGGAGGTCATATGAAGAAACAGAGAATTTTAATTTTGAATTAGCTATTAGATGATGTGAATGCAGAATTCCAAGAACTGTAGTATAAATGCTAAATTGTAAGAATAGTATTTCTTTTTTCAAGGAAGCTAAGATGATTTACTTTCTCCACTGCAAAAGTTTTCATTACCCAGTCTGTGGTAAAAGGTGCTCCATTTGCCATCAAAATGCGAACTTCATCATCTTGACCTGCTCGTGCAGCTTCTAAAAGTTTCTTTCCCAAATCTACTAGTGACATCTAGTGAAGAACATACAGGAATATAAAGAGAAAATAATAATGTTAACACTATTTTAAATACATACATATTGCCTTTCTTTTTTTTAAATTATTATTTTTTAAGTACTCTGAAAAGTTCAGAAACTAGAGCTGGTATTTTAGCCATGAGAACAAGCTTAACTGATTGCAATAAGCAGTTTGATTTAGAATTACTTTTGCCAGCTAAACAGAACTGATACAAAGATTTCAGTATTACAATGCTGTAATCACTGTAGCTGTAAAGTTAAACAAAATTTAAACTGAAAATTTAAAACAAAAATTTAAACAAAATTTAAACTGATACACATTTCTTACAGCAGAAGGTGGTTTCAAAGCTCTCACCTGACACTGTAACCTTCTGCAGCTTTATCCAGTTTTCAAATGGTACCACATCATGGTTGCTACGCCATGCACCCGAAGGCACTACATCCACTTATCCAAAATGCCCACATGTATTTAGGAGGTACTACTATGTACCTGCACTAAGTATGAAACACAACACCGTTCTGATATCATGTCCATCACTATTTTTGCTCACCCTAAAATATAATTTCTGTACCCCTAGATGTAAAATGTCACAAAAAGCACATTATTGTACTACATACAACAGATACATGAAATCTTTGCCTGAAAACAATTATTACTACCTGCTTTAACTGTCTACAAGTACTAAAACCGTGTGAAGTGCAAAATTTTGACACATGACTGAGATATTAGCTGAAAATCCATCACATCATGATTGGAATCCTTTTTACACCAAGGTTCCATATAATACTTGCAATAATATATGGAGACAAATTACAACTGTTTCTGTTGCATCAAAGATTTGCTAGAAACACAATTTTTAAACTCATCCCATTTCACAATTGCTAACAAATTTGTTTGGTAAAAAAACTAGAACTAAACCATAACTTATGATACTAACCAAAATACACTACTACTAATATTTTAGTATACCTATAGCTATGTTTTCCACTACCAGGACACTAAAAATGGAATTGCTTTCATCAATTTAGTTTCCAGTCACAAACAAAGTTAAGCCTGTATTGCTAATAACAGCAGTTATGAGGCCATGCAGCCAATGTCCTACACAAAGTGTAGGAAGAGTGTACCAGTCCAGGAAAGAAATCCTATTAAACACACAAATCTATCACAAAAACAGTATCTTTAGAAATTTCTCTGTACCTGGCTCCACTGGCACATTGCTCAATAAACTGAAAGCTGTTGGCTTAGGAAGAAACTATAAAGGAGACCAAAATACTGCAAATGCAGTAATGAACACATATCGGTAGGGCTGTGAACTCGAGCAGATTACCTCTGTCTACAGAACTGACTGCAGGCAGCAATATCCCTGTCACCAAAACACTCCATTTATGTCCATCCTTCTGGTACATGTGAACACATTGATTTGTTTCCAGCCAGAAAAGGGAAGAGAAGCAGGAAGGCGGCAGGAAAGAACAAATACTGACAATGGGAAAAGGAAAGAAAAAAGGAACACAGATGCAGAGGAAGGAATAACTGCTGCCTCTGTTCCAAAAAGAGCAAAAGAGAAGATCTAGGAAAGATCCTAAGGAATGGAGTAAGAGAAAATCTGTCACACCTGTTAAAGAGAGCCATTAGAAGTAACAATACCAAACATAAGGCAAGAGATGGCACTTGGCAAGTACAGCAGTGAAATGAAGGGATAGAGCATTCCCTTTGCATGGCTTTTTTTTCCCCCAGTGAGGACTGCAAGTTAAGGAGGAAAAGTACGCTCAGAGCGCTCACAGACACCCTTCCTTTTTCTAGTGGTCTAACACCCCCACATCAAGGCCCTCAGAAGCAAAGGAAAGCTGGAACTTAATTCAAAATACTTGTGTTACAACTAGCTCAGAAAGACAACTATCCATTATCCTTATAATTATTTTTGGTTTAAACAGCAGTAGAGCAAAAGAATTAATAAAATCTCATTTTGGAATTGCAGAATAATTAAGGCTGAAGGGGACCTCTCAAGGTCACCTAGTTCAATATTCCAGTCAGAGCTGGCCCAGGGCTCAGTCCTGTTAAGTTTTGAATGTCACTCTGGATGGATGAACGTCCTACCACTTCTTCAGCCTCATTCCAGTATCTAACTACCCTCACAGAAGAGCTGTCTTCAGTGCATACCCATCTTCCCCCACTAACCAAAAAGACACTCATGATAACAAGCTTATATTTGATGCCTTTTAAACTGAAACAGGCGAATTAGTCTGTACATTTAACAACCTATTCAGAACCCACTTCCCACATCTATACACGACTGAAATTAACTGTAAAGTTGTTATGAAAACCCTAGGCAGCAAAAGTCAAGCCATCCCCCCAAAAAAAATCAATTATGGTGGCCTGCAAAATGCCAGTTTCACTCCCAGGATATGTTAGGGACAAAATTCCATCAACACCTTTTCAGAGTCCCCCTGAACTCCCTAAACTACGGTGGAGCACAGTCAATGAAAGCACACCAGTCCTCTTCTCAATGCAAAACTAGATAGCTTTATACTACAATTGATAAAAAAATGTTCTAATCAAGGAAAAAAAAGCCTTTCATTACTGCATATTCCTTACATTAACCAACACTTGATATAAAGTGTTTGTATTTTAAACAAGCATAAAGCATCACACAGGTTGGTATATACTTCATAATATAGAACTTTAATTTCAGTTAAAAGAGAAATGAATTAAGTTTCAGTTCTCATGGGGTACTTGGAAGCATGCTTGGGCCCTCTAGTGGAAAAAAGAAAAAAACCTAGCAAAATTCCACTGTTCAACTAAAATAACAAAAATCCCATTATATGTCACTAATGCACTAACAGAAGCAAACGAAGAGGCATTTCCACCAAAACTAATACACATTTAGTCACTTTAAACCAATTAATACTAGCACTGACAAAATTTCTGAAGAGCTGATTTCCACTTGGCAGTCCATTCCAAGGACCAATACTGTGAGAAACCCCCAAGTAACAACATACCAAACTTCCCCTATACTCACCCACAGCACTGGGACATAGTGAGAAGGGTCTGCAGAGTCACAGCCTCCCATTCCAGAAAACCTTTCCAGCTGCTCTCTCAAAATCACTCATCACAAGCAAGATACAATAATACATTTAAAACTGAAATGAGATTGCTATTTCAAAGAGCACTCTGCTGCTACTCCACAGTGTTAAAATCAACTCTGCTGAACAGTGTTAGAGGGTTCTCCTCACTGTGTCATTTCCATCAAGCTCAGCTAGCATGACAGCTGTGTAACACTTTACATGAGGACCTTTTCAGAGAATAAAAACATCACTGGCTCTAAAATAAAGACTTGAGACTGTTGGAATTATTCTTATGGCAATGTGATAATGTTTTCAGACTTCTAAGAGCTCCTACACAATTGTGTCAAGAGAGGACTTTGTCTACAACTGAGTAAATAGGGAAGAGCTTCTGCTGGGTTTAGATTTCTCTGGATTAATCAACTCCTGAACTTCCACATTACTGAATGTATTCTGCACAGTATCATTTAGCCAGATGCCACAATTAACTGGTAATTTAAAATAACATCAAATTATTATTGCTATTATACTTATGTTCAAAAGAAAATTATACTACTTTTCACATCCATCTTAGATTTAGGTTTTTATACACTCTAAAAAACTCTGAAGATCACACCAGAGGGGTATAGAATAGCACTCAACAAGAGTTTATGTGGAACTGTGTGTGAAATAGGCTTGGGAAGCAAGTGGAGCTAAAAAGCCCGGCAACTTGGGACGCCTGGGCTGCCACACGACAGTCTACAGACAACAGAGCAGCAGAGTCTGCAGTCCAAATTAAAATTAATTTTGGCTTAAAATGTTGCAGCATCTCTCAGACTGATGTCCTGCCCCCAGAACCCAGATCTGTTCCATTCCTTTTCTATCACTGCAGTGCTGAGCATCAGCCAGTCAACATCAACAGGCACAAAACAGCTGTTACAGAACATCTGCCAACATGGAGAGCTCCCAGCCCAGCATTCATCCCAAGGTGCATTCCCAAAAGGGACATCCTTACTCTAGAGGAGCATGGACTGCAGCAGTGCAACTTATCAAAGGTACCCAAATCAGTACACACCATATCTCTGATAAGGATTTGCAATCACAAAGTTCCATTAAAGGCTCATTTAACACTTTTCTCTGCTCAAATGACAGATGGCAGAGTTGTACTTAGAAGATGGCTGGATACCCATCATATCTCATTCATTACATCTGGAAAAAGAATGTCCTTTCAGAGTATCTTTTTCTTTCCACTACTTAAGAAAAAAACAATTTAACCTACTTCACCAGACCTGACCTTCACAAATGCTACCATCCTACTGATTTCAGCATCTCACAGTATTGCGAGAAATACAGAATAGCCATTTCTAGCAAATTTTATGTGCATGTCCATACCAAGGTCAATAACTTTCTGAAGTACAGCACAGAGTAGTTAGCATCACTTGAACACTTTGGCATCATTTTAACGTACATATCAATTAGCAGTGATTATAGCAACTTACATGGGATAAACTCAAAAAGTCCCTGTTTGGTTTCCTACGTGAACCAAACATCTTTCAACAATGATTTCACAAGCGATGCTTCAAATCTTAATACAAATATCATAGGCTCAGACTATCCACATTTCTACTGATAGTGAAAATTGCACTAATACGTTAATTGCAGTCAGCTTTAATTCCACTGCTTTCAGCTTTCCTCTGACTGTTGTAACTACATTCTCTATAGATTGCTTGAACAGCAACATGACCTTCATGTCAGACAGGCATCAGATGAAAAATACCTGATCTGAGAAAAGCAAACATTGTTGAATAGCTTAGAGCAAAGACAGCCAGGCCTGTTATTAATGCAGGTATGTCCTCCTATAAGGCTCACACATTAACTTAAATAAGCACCAATCAACAATGAACTCAAATAACAGAAACTGCAGAAAAGTCTGTTCTTACAAAGGAGAGCACAGATTTGGCCATGATCTGTAACATCTAAAGAGTGTTATTATGCAACAAGGGTGATGACACCAAGATTTAGACTGGCACTGCCAACAAACTTCAGAGTTTTCACAAATAAATTTGGCATTAGATACCAAAAAAGATTAATTTGCAGTGGCTGTGATTGGCATGAAGAATCCAAGGGCTTGTGATGTAGCCTTTTAACTGTACCACAGTCTTTGGAGGCTCTCAGGTTGATTAAGCTTGAAAATACCATCAAATAAAAACCATCCACCTCCTACCTACAACATCCGTTTTATCATGAGGAATCTTCCTCGACAGTTTCTGTCTAGCAAACAGGCCTAAAAAAAAAATCCAACTAGAAAACAAAGTGTTTTCAGCAAAGAAAGTGGGTCACGAACAAGAGGCTCTATTTAGTGTATGCTGATCTGCCAAATATACCCTTAACCTTACTCACATGGCACACTTAGGTTCTCTTACAAATATCTGTGTGCATACAAAACTCAGCTAACTGCACAGTCTTACTAATAGCTCACCTAATAGCTCACATGTAACGAATAACTTAAAATAGGCTGAAAAATTACAGAGTGTGCATTCACAACTCTGAGAACACTTTATTGTGAAGCATTTGCCGTTAAATCAAAGCCACCTTAGTAAGCAGGATACAGGAAAATGCACAAATGCCTTAAGAACTACCACAGACGACTTCCTACAGGGGATTTCACCGCCGTGCCACCAGTGTCCCATCAACGGAAACTACTTCGACTATTTGAGGAAAGCCGAAAAAAAAAACAGACTACAATCCGCACTACCATATCATATCGCACTTTTATGCTCCCATCATACGCTTTATTAAGAGTCCAAAGCAAGAGTTACAGACTCCGGGTGAGGGGCACTGCGGAGGGGAAACCGCTCCCTTCCCGCCCGAGCCGCCTCTCCCCAGGGCACCTTTGGCGCCAAGCTCGCGCACGCAGCCCCGCCGCCTCAGGGGCCCGGGCCGCGGCCCCACCACCCCCCGGCCCACGCGGGGCTCGGGACCGTGCCCACGCGGCCCACACCGCGCTGCCCGGCAGAGAAA